TCACCTGAGCTCTGGTTTAATAGCTTTGTCACATTGAAAAGTTGTATAAATGGACTCAGTTTCTGACTTTTGAAATGGCTACTTTGACTAAGACAATCTCCAGGCAACCCAGTGCTGTGTGTGTCGATACTTTCCCTTTTTAAATTCTTTCTCTTAGCTGGGTTTCCAATACCAGGCATGATTTCTCTCTTTTCAAGCAGGTCTTAAGTTCAGTTAAAAAGCTGTTGTTTACTGCTACAACATGGTGCCATGCTGATTGTTATGGTAGCCCACGGGTATCATAGTTGGATGGGACTGTTGGTTGCTTCCCTTTTTTGTAAGCTTGTGTAATGACTTCATGTGCCATGGAAGCTAGTCCTTGAGGAGGCATTCAGGTTAGTTCCAGCTCAGTGCCTCTGGGCCTGTGTCTGAAGTGCATGGTGTCTTCAGCAATAGAGGCTTAACTTCCACCTCTCGAGGGCAACCAGGGGCAGTAATCACAGGCTGAATGTTTTAGGAGTCTCTGGAATAGCCCTGGCCAACAAAGAGGACTTCTGTGTCTAGTGTTGGGGTTTTTATTTTTCTAGATGGGATTTGGCCTATCTTGTGTGGCCCTGGATGTTCTGGAGCTCACTCTGTAGACCAGGCTGGCCTTAACTCAGAGAGCTGTGATTAAAGGCATGTGCCACCACCACCAGGCAGACTTTCTCTAAGGTCTGGATATAGTGACTTTTTTTTTCAATATTCACCTATTGACAGACATTTGGGCTATTCCCCAACTCTTTTATTTTTTTATTTTATTTATTTATTTATTTATTTATTTTTTTTTTTGAGACAGGGTTTCTCTGTAACAGCCCTGGCTGTCCTGGAACTAATTCTGTAGACCAGGCTGGCCTCTGAACTCACTGAGATCTGCCTGCCTCTGCCTCCCAAGTGCTGGAATTAAAGGCATGTGCCACCAATGCCTGGCATTATCTTGGGCTTCTTAAAGGAGAAAGGGTTTATTATAGTTCACAGTTCCTGTTTTAGCCCATCATGGTGAGGAAGTCATGGCATTAGGAACTTACAGCTGATGGTCAACATGACATCTTTAGTCTTGTGTGCTTTCTCCACTGTTAGGCCAGTCAGGATCTCTGCTTAGGGAACGGTGTCACCCACAGTGGGTAGGCCTTCCTACCTCAATTAACATAGCTTGATCCCCTACCCTACAGTCTGGCTTAGATTAACATAGTCAAGATGACCCCCCCCCCAGGCTTAGACTCCCATCTTTCAGGTGATTCCAGATTTTGTCAAGTTGACAGTTAATTCTGACCATCACAATGCTTGTGAACTCCTGAGCTCAAGTGATCTTCCTGCCCCAGCTCCTGAGGGCTGGGATTATGGGGCTGGGTAAGAAATGGCCAAACCATATTCTGCTTTATCTTCATACCAGTGTGCATGTGAGGTGCAGTTTCTCTGCCTTCTTGCCAGCATTTGATACTGGCACTGTTTCTCATTTTGTAGTTCTGGGGTACCTCACTATGGTTTTTATTTTTTCTCTTTTGTCTATTGATGTACTCATTGGCTGTGTATCATTTTATCCAAGTGCTCTTCATGTCTCTTGTCTCTTTTCAGATTGGATACTGTAGTTAAGCTTTTGACTGTTTTTTTCTGCCCAGGTTGCTGGCAATTCCCCAGGGTTGTGCTGCAGACACCCCACCACTCTGTAGTACCTCTTTCATAGTGCTGAAGCTTTCACTCTTTCTTTCTCCCCTTTCTTAACCAGAGAGTTGGAGTTTAACTAAGAAGAGATTTTTTTAGCTGGGTACAGTGGTACATGCCTTTGATCCCAGCACTCAGGAGTCAGAGGCAGGTGGATTTCTGAGTTTAAGACTAGCCTGACCTATAGAGTGAGTTCCAGAACAGCCAGGGCTACAGTTGAAAAACACATAGATGAATTACCCCCCCCAAAAAAAAAAAAGAAAAAAGGCAACCTGTTAAGACTAGCCTGACCTATAGAGTGAGTTCCAGAACAGCCAGGGCTACAATTGAAAAACACATAGATGAATTACCCCCCCCCAAAAAAAAGAAAAAAGGCAACCTTTTAGAGCAGTTGGAATTTTGAGCCTTGTCTTATATGTCTCCTCCCACCTTGATGAGCATGGACTGTAATTAAAAGGGAAGCCAAAGAAACCTCGTGAATTAGTAGGGACTGTACCAGCTGCAGTTGCCCCAGCCATAGTCACTTTTGTTTCTCCAAGGCTCAGGTGTTCTTGTTTGCTACAGGATCTAGGCCAGCAAGTGCTTCTTCCCAGGAAGACATCTGTGTGTCCTAGGTATGGAACAGTGAGACTCAGTATCTGTCTTCTCCTAGACACACTGTGAAGAGTGGGGCTCAGGGTCTACCCCCTCCTCACCCTCTGCACACACTGAAGAGTGGGGCTCAGGGTCTACCCCCTCCTCACCCTCTGCACACACTGAAGAGTGGGGCTCAGGGTCTACCCCCTCCTCACCCTCTGTATATACCAGGAAGTTTGCAAGCTTAGTGTGTTGTAGACTGGACTGCAGATGTCGACAGCCTCCAAGTGAGTCTTGGGTTTGGACGGAGGAGCTGCTACACTTGCCTTTCAAGGGGACCTGGGACTAAATGTTTATGAGTAAGGGCATTGCTTTAACTGTTGTCTAAGAGAATGTTCTAGAAACCTTCAAATCGTTTGGTAGGGGCTTTCTACATCTTTTTTCTATTTCCAAGATGTAGATAATGTCACTTTAAAGTTGCCATGAGAGAAAAGAAAACAAACATGAGGTAGTATTTGGGGAACATGGTGGCAATTTAGGGGTATTTGTTCTTGTTTTACTCACCCCCACGTGACAGGCAGAGACATTGATTTACAGTGCAAACCTTTCTAAAGAAACATCTCAGGCACTAGCTTTCAACTTGGCAGCCATGCCTACAGCAGCTATTATTAGGTTGTCACAGTGTCTTTTTTCCAGAACTTGCCACCAGTCTTTATATATAGACACCTTCTCCATTTTTGAGTTTCCCAATTTAGGTGCCTTCTCTGTTTTTGAGTCTTGAATCTGTCTTTTAGTTGGTGGGTTAGGGATTGTTTATGTGAAAGAAAAAGAGCAATGTAAGGGACTCTGCTGGGTCCCAGTGTTCTGCAGGAGCTGACAGGTAGATGTGGAGACAGGGTGTTTGAGGGGAGCCAGGCAGGAGGTGTAGGTAGACAGCAGGCAATATTCGGCTAGATTATAGGGCAGGTGTGAGCTGTTTGCACCCCACAAAGCCCTGGGGGAGTCTTCTGCTGAAGGTGTCACTACATTTTGGCCTGGATGTCTGCTCCTGAACTTGAAGGGACTGTGAGGTTTGTCACCTGGGCTGACGATGAAGCTGGGGACGAAAGCTTCAGTTAGGCCTCTTGCCCAGTGTCTGTGATGTTCACTGTCTCTGCATTTATCCATCTCATCTGTGTGTGCACTGGTGCACCTTGAGTCATAGCCAGAGCCCTTGGTTTGGGCAGTTGGCCTTCCAGGTCACTTGATGGCGGATGGCATTGACTCTTGTCAGTAGGTGGCAGCACTAAAGAGGATGAGGCTCATGGGGCTCTGAGCCAGGGTAAAGGGGGCAGCTAGGCTCCTCCTCTCCAGCTGCTATAACAATGCTGGAAACTGGCCTGTCTCACAGTTCTAGAGGCTGGGCGGTTGATCCAGGCACTGACCACACTGTCAAGTGGGGTCCATTTCTAGTTCATAGGCAGGCAACTCTTTGTACTGTCTTCAAGTTACAGAAAAGGCAGTGGCCTCACACGAGGGTACTGATTCCATTTGTGAGGGCTCTACCCTCCTGACCTAAGCACCCAAACCTCCTAATGCTGTCACTTTGGCAATAGTCTGAGGCTTCAAACTTCTAAGAGCACATTCTGGATGATCCTCAAAAGATTTGCTCCTTGAAAGTGGCTCTAGTCTCTGTCCCAGCCTTGGCCTCCATTGGTAAACATCTTGGGCTCTTGGCAGCAGCTCTTCTCTGGGCCACATGGGGTTACTTCTCCACATCAAATGGGACTCCAGCTCTCTATCTAGAAAAGTGTTGCTTCCACAGAGCTGCCATCCACCCTCAGCTTCGCTTTCCTGCTGGAAATGTCCTTGATGGTTGTTTCCTCTGTTTGCCTTTTCCTTGTTTATGGGGCACCTAACTCACATTCTCTATAAACAGCCTGGGTGCTGGGCTAGCCTGAGTGCTAGGGATTTAACTACAGGAATGGGTACTGCCCCTGAGCAGGCAAGAGGGTAGACCATGAAATGAATTGGTTTGTTGGGGAAGTGGATAGGCAGGGAGCTGGTGTGTGGATCAGTGGTAGAGTACTTGCCTCACATGTGTGAAGTCCTGGACCCTATAATTTGAAGTTTGAATGTGTGCAATTGGGAAGAGCCATGAAGTTTTGCCGATATCACAGCCAGGACCGAGGGATGGATGGTTGTTAGCCATTAGGGAAGTCAGAAAACTCAAATACCAAGCTCTCAGGTAGATGCCCATAGTGATAAAATGGTTTTGCCAGATCAGGGTGGTACACATCTGTAATCCCAGTACTCAGGAGCCTGAGGCAGGGGGATTGTGAGCTCGGGGCTTGCCTGGGCTACACATAGCAAAACCTTGCCTCTTAAAGGGGAGGGACAAGAGGAGCCATGAGGCAGTTTTGTGTGCCAAATGAGGGTCCCAGCTTGCTGCAGCAGCACGTGGAGATTGCCAGGTTAGCAGGTGGGTCAAGCTGTTCGGGAGGGCTGTGGAGTGGTGCCCTTCTGTACCCCTGCATTCCCAGCCATGTTTCGGTCTTCTGCCTTCCTAGGGAGCTGTGAGGGACTTTTGGCAGACAAAGGTCCTGGTCTGACTAAGATCTCAATGTCACAAGGTCGTTGTGAACATTGTGTATTGACCTAGACATGGCAAGACAAGGGCAGAGCAGGGACATGGCTGGGGCCAGAGTCATGTAGACCTCAAAGGGTGTTTCCAACACTTGTACTTACCCAGATTTCTTCTCTAGGCCAGCCCATCCATCAGTCACTCAAAGAGATTCTCTCAGGGAGCCTGCTGCTGCTGGGCACCATGACAATGAGGGGGGCTGCGCTGGCCCCAGACCCAGCATCACCCACAACTGCAGCAGCTTCCTCTGGTGTTTCTGCAACCCCTGAGGGCAGTCCTACAGCTATGGAGCAGCCTGTGTTCCTGATGACCACCGCTGCCCAAGCCATCTCCGGCTTCTTTGTGTGGACAGCTCTACTCATCACCTGCCACCAGGTACCTGGGTGTGAAGGGGGGACCTTCATAAGTGTCCCGAGTGGTTTCTAGTCCAACGAAGCATATGCTTTAGGGAAGCCAGGCTGGAGCAGTGGGCACACTCAGCTTCCTGGGTGATTTCTCCTCCCCACCCCAGCTCATCCAAGGGCAAGTTGTGGCTCTAGAGTCGTCTGTATTCCTCTAACAACCAGAGCATCAGGAATCTGAGGAGACATACAGATACTTGTCTGCCTTGAACTACAAGTGACAGTTACTTCTGATGAGTAGCTTTTGGCCACGCCCATGTCTAGCTGAAGCCACAGAACTGTCCATGTTAGAGATGTCTTTGCAAAGGAGAGACTCGAGAGCCTGAGGAGGGTGGCACACGAGCTGGTTGCACATATGTAGGTGGCAGCTTAGGGAGAGAAGTCAGGTTTTGTGTCCTCCGTACTCAACCTCAGGGGAGTCTGGGTGCTCAAGAAGGAGGCTTGACGAATGCCCCATGTAGGCTGGGTGAGTCTGCTCAGGCCCCTGGCAGTCCCTCCCCAGCTGCCACGTGCCTCAGTGTTCAAGAGATTGGCTTACAGCAGATGGGAATATTTTGTCCTTTTCCTCAGCCAGGGCTGGGCTGGGCCAAGAGTGATGTCATGAAAGCTGGGACCAGGCACTGGGGCTGGCTTGGCTCTGTTTTCTCAGAGTTACTCAGACTTCTTCTGCCTCCCCAGGAACGTTGCAGTGCTGCGTTGGTTCAGCAGATTGAGGAACAAGGCATAGTGTGAGCACACCACTATGGCCACATGGCCCAGAAGTGTATCCATGTCTTCAGAGTGAGGCTCCCGTCTGTCCCACCCTTTCTTACATCTGCTAAGGGACAAGGCAGAGGGGCCACAGCCAGATGGCCTCGATTCACCCTTGATCAGCCCTTCAGCTAACTCAGTGCTGTTGCTGTGCAACCCTGGGAACTTGGCTTTGGCAAGGCAGAGTGGGCAGCACACACTAAGGACCCCAGCTTCAACAGCACCATGTCCTGCTGTCCCATGTAGACAGGCGTCTGTAGCTGCTGCTCACGCCGGCTGTCTGTGGGTCCCTTTGATTTGATTCTCGCGATGGAAGTTTACTAAGCAGGACTAAGTCTCAGGGTGGTTACTTTGCATCGGGCCATAGACCAAGAAGGGCGGAGACAGGAGCAGGAAGGAGAGGGCCGACGGGGGTCGCTGGGGTGCGGGTGTGGCTGGGGCCCTGGCTGACCTGGCGCCCTCCGCGCAGATCTACGCGCACCTGCGCTGCTACCGCTGCCCCAACGAGCAGCGCCACATCGTGCGCATCCTGTTCATCGTGCCCATCTACGCCTTTGACTCCTGGCTCAGCCTCCTCTTCTTTACCAACGACCAGTACTACGTGTACTTCGGCACCATCCGCGACTGCTACGAGGGTGAGGAGCAGTGTGGAGTGGGTCTGGAGGGAGAGCTGGGGAGCTGGGGCCGTGGGAGCAAGGGCAGCACACTCCCCTCATCCAGTTCTAGGACCGGGGGCTGGGACATTCATCGCGCCTTGGTTTTTCCCTGGAGCCTGGACCTCACAAAGAGGAATGTGGATTCCCCCTCACCTGGCTCTCCACCTTTCCCATCCTAATGGATGGGTGACCAACCGTACACGTGTAGCTAAGTCTCCGATTCAGACGTGCTGTGGAATTGGTGTGAGGTGGGTCCCAGGACACATTCACAGGTTCCTGGAGGCGGGAGCTCCACCTCTAGCTCATTTTCTTCCCCCCTCAATTCTGGCTTCCTAGCTTATGGGCAACTTGTAAATGGTCCATCAATGGACAGAAACCCCAGGTATGTGTAGGAGGACTTATACAGCTGGGCCTGCAACCCCGTGTGTCCCCATGTGGTGCTCTGTTGTGTTTCAGAAAAAAGGGCTGCTACCTTTGTTCCGTAGCTCCTCCCACCGTGCCCCCCCCCTTGCCTCCTCTGCACTCTCTCTACAGGACACGCATCAGCTTCCATCCCGGCTGTGGCAGTAGGTAGTTTCCTGATGTTGGGGTCTGGCATGGCCTGGTTTTCCAGCCCCGTGTGGGCCTGACCCTCACCCTATCTCTTCCCCAATGTCACATCCTTCCTGTCCATACATGGTTGCAGGGTGCTGTCTGCCCTTCAGTGGATGCTGCTCTGGGAGACACATGACAGCAGCTCACTCCTTTTCTCTTCTTTGAGACCTCATGCAGCCTAGGCTGGCCTGAAACTTTTTTGGGGGTGGTGTCAGGGTCTCATTTTACAGCTCTGGCTGGCCTTGAACTCACAGAGGTCTGCCTGTGCCTCCCAAGTGCTGGGGTTACAAGTATATGCTACCATACATGGTTTATGTAGTGCTGGGCATGGAACCCATGGCTTCCTAGATGCTAGGCAAACACTCTACCAACTAAAATACATCCCCAGGCCAATCCATTTGTATGCTTGTGTTGGAGGAATTGGGGCTCATGCACACCAGGCATGTTCTCTTTCTTTAAGCTGTGTCCCATAATTTTTGAATAAAGGGACTTGAGTCGTTCACACTGTGAGCTCTACCCAGCCCCTCTGTAGAGCTGCACTGATTGCCAGGCACCTTCCTCCTGGCTGGTGGTGCTCCTGCAAATGTAAATTCCTTCCAGGAGAGACTATAGAGGGAGACGGGGACCTGCTCAGTGCTCCACTGTGCTTCATGTTCCTGAAAGCAAGAAAGTCCCCCAGGGAAACCTCTGTCTGGGGAAGGGAGGAGCTGAGCATCCTTCTCTGTGCAGGTGCCAGCCCCAAGTGGAACGGCTTCTGCTCACCTGGCTCTTTTAGAAGCAAAAGGTTGTTCTTTACTGTGTATGTGTCTTTGTGTCTATGTGTCCTGTGTAGGCTAGGGGCAAATGTAGGCTTTCTTCTTGGTTGGGCCCTGAAGATGGGACATCTAGAAAATAGTGGGGACATGAGGGAGTCTGTCCTTACTCAGCACCCCAGAGTAGCAGCAGATAGAGGGTGGCACCCCCACTTCAGAAGCCTCTTTGTTCCTCCCACCAGCTCCAACCAGCCTCCCAGTCTGTGGAAAGGTGGCCTCAGGAAGTCTGCCACTCTGGAAGCTCATCTCCTAGCAACACTATTGTCTCTGGCCTCTCATCTCCCAGGGAGTTTACAAACAGCACAGAGCACCTGGAGCTGACAGCTGCCTGAGGTCACTGGCTTTTAGTGTCTTGAGTCAGCAGCCCTCACTCTTACCTGGCCCTTTCTACCTCTTTTCAGGTCTCTTTTGTTTCTGTGACAAAACTAAAAAAGCACACACATATGTACACACACACACACTTCTCTTTTCTTCACCTTACTGGGGAGGATGAACTACAATTTTTTTCTAGGTGTGTATTTAGTGTTTGCATTTTATATGTTTAAATATTGTTCAAAGCTGGATAGGGAGGCTGGTCCTCTCTGTCCTTTATGTGTAGAAGTCTGGGTTTTGCAAAGATACTATTTGTCTTAATTTTGGAGTGATTCAGTTTTCTGTGTTTGTCATTGATGTATTCCTGAATGCTATAATTGGGTTTTTAAGTGAGCAGCCCTACTTTCCTTAAGGTGACACTGTGTGACTCTGTCACTACTGCTGTTTTCTTTGACCACATTTCTCTGGAGCCTGTGGTGCTTGCTTGTGAGCCCTCCTCTGCTCAGCTGTCACCAGGCTCAGTCATTCACCATCATTCTTGGACTTGTATCTGTTTCTCCTGAGCTTTGTGAGCCACCTGGCCCTATTTCTCCTTTGTTGTGGTTTCTTGTCTCTGTTGATCGGGGCCGTCTTCCACCAGCCTCCTGACAAAGCAGGTACATTGGGTGCTGGCGTGAAGTCCCAACTGTCTCTATTGGACATCCCTGGGAAGGGACCACACTTTTCATGGCTTCAGCTCTGCTCCTTTGGGAAGTCTGCGCTGTTCTGATCCTGTCTAGCCATTTGCATATTCTTCCCGTTTTTTTTAGATCTTGTTTTCAACCCTCAAGTCTGAAATCTCACAGAAGATAGAGCAATAGTCACCCTGGGAGACCTGGCAGGCTTGAACTCCTCAACTCAGTCCTGAGACTTTTTCTTGTTTGTGTCTTTGATACTTTTCTTTTAAAAATGATTTAATTATTTAAACTTTTTTATTTAGTTAGCAACCTGGAAAGAGATACATAAGGACTTAGCAAGGTTGGGTTCCAATACTACCCAGGTTTTTCTTAACTTATCTGAATATAAAGTACATAACAGAGTAAAAACTAGCCAGAGTCATCCCAATACTAGCCACAGCTTACCTAATCTTTGTGTCCAGGTCCCTCTTCATCCAGAGGCCTAGTTTCAGGGCCTTCATGGCTTTCTCAAGCATGAACACTCACTCCTCTTAGCTGTGGACTGAAGCATCCATTTGGTTGGAAGTTTGTATAAGTTGGAGCCACAAACCATGGCCTTGGTGAGGTTGGCAATCCCAAGTCTTGGGCCTCACTCACATGGCCAGTGTAAGGGATTTGAGATCCCTGTGGGCTGAACAGGGCTCCCAGCAGCCTTACCTGGACTTGAAACATTGTGGATCTTTCAGGTCTTCAGAAACCTTCACCCAGGGAGGTACTTTATGGTTCAGAAGCTGTCCGCTGAATCCCTTGGAAGCATCCGCTGAATCCCTTGGAAGCATCCGCTTTCCCTTTGTTTCTCTCTGGGATGTGCTCCTAGAACAACTCTTTCTGTTGCTCTCCGGGAGCTGTTTGTTGCTTGTTTGTCACCTGTGAGCTTTTCCTGTTTTACTTCATTTACCTCATTGTAATGTTTAAACAGCTCTTCTTTGTTCTTTCTCAAGGCCCTTGTTTTTGGTGCTATAAGGTATTCTTTTCTCTGCGGGAACTAACTATGGTTTTCTTCTGCATCAGCTCCACCTCTTGAGTTCTTTGCATCTGTTTGATTTGCCTGTGTGTGTGTGTGTGTGTGTTGTGTGTGTGTGTGTGTGTGTGTGTGTGTGTGTTTGTGTGTGTGTGTGTGTGTGTGTGTGTGTGTGTGTACATGTGTGCTGTATGCAAGCATGCGTGCCGGTGCAGAGGCCAGAGGAGGCTGTCTGGTATCCTGTCTGTCACTTTCTGCCTTATTCCTTTAGTCAGGGTCTTTCTCTGAACCTGGAGCTAGACCAGGTGGCCGGAAAACCCTAACAATCTTCAGGCTATGCCCCCGAACATCCTCCACCCCCTCCCTCACCAGCTTTGGAGTTACAGGTGTGCACACATGAGCGTGGTGTTTGTTTTTGGTGGGGATCACAAGACCATGCTTGGCTTTGGTGGGAATTTGAACTCGGCTCTCTGTGCTTGTACAACAGTGCTCTCACCCACTGAGCTATCTCGCTGCCCCCGATTTGGTTTTTGACCTTTGTATTAGGAACCATCTTCAAATTTCTAATGTCTTCAGATTTTTTTCCTATTTAAGACTGGGCTCTCGATAACTGGGCCTCCCAGTTGAGCATAGATGGTTTTCCTTGTCGTGTTTATACAGACACAATGCAGGCACAATGTGGTTCTCCACAAAATACTATTCCTAGCTTCTGCTCAGAAGATACAGACTGGTACAGGGAAGAGGGCTATGGGGATGTTGCATTTTCTGTAGATGTCATTACCGCCCTCAGCTGGGCCACTTTCTTACCTTTTAGATACTCACAGGCCAAAGTTCTGCATGGGGTCTTTGACTGCTTTCCCCGTGTGTACATCCACAGCCACAGCATCAGAGCTGCACAACAGGGCTGGGGGCTTCTGGGCTCTGTTCCTTCTTTTCTTTTTCTTTTGAGGTTTTGCTTCATAGCTCTGGCTGACCTAGAACTCACCCCTTCTACCTCTTCTGCTACGAGTCTGTGTCATCACACTTAGCTCTGAAATCCCCTGTGTAGCCTAGGTTAGCTTTGAACTTGCAGAGATCTTCCTGCCTCAGCCTCTGAAGTGTTGGATTATGGGAGCCATCCACTTGGCTCTTTGGGGTCCTTGTTGGTACTTCCCTCCCCCCAGGACAGCCAGCCTGAAGCATCACCCAGAGCTCCTGCTGTTGTTTCCAACAGTGGTCCAATTGGCATTCGTCATTGTCTTGATAATTTGCTTCTCATATGAAGTCAGTCCCAATTGTTTGATTACATTTTAGAGGGAAGAGAGGGGATGCTTGTGTGTTATACTCAGGAAGTGTATATCTATACTCATGTAGATGGCAGGGCTTCCATTCTCTGAGGCAAGGGCTGAACCTCACAGATGCCGGCTGCCTTTCCCAGGATGCCCCAGGATGAGGGCTGGGGTGAGAGATAGTTGGTGTCTGATTGGGCTTGGGGTGAGGTCCTGGGAGCCTCCCTGCTCCCTACAGTATGTTGTGTTTACAGTTCCCGGGTCCTTCATCATTAGCACACTCTTACCTCCTAGTTACTAGGTAGAGTATGTATCACACACCAATTATACAGTGTGAAAAGAGAACTTCAAGTAGCTGTAAAACTTGCCCAGAATGACTTGGTAGCCTGAAATGCCAGATTCCTGCCTGATTCTTTGTGGCCAGGATTTGCTCTATGCTGCTTGGTGAAAGCGAGGAAGAAGACCATTGTTCCCCCCAGAGAAGTGTGAACTCTCTGTTAGAAAGAGTTTCCATGCATAGGAGGAATGCAGTGTCCTTCACCCCATTTCAGAGTTCAGATTCTTGTTTTTGAGATACCGTTTAGATGTGTAGCTCAGGCTGGCCTCAAATTCACGATCCTCTTGCCCCAGCCTTCCTTGTGCTGGCATCACAGCTGTACAACATTACACATGGCCCCAGAGTTCACATTTTAGATACATTGAATCTTGACATGTGGCCCAAAAAGAACCATCTTTTTGGACAGAGAGGGTATAGTGAATGAACAAAGAGCCATAGGCCAGGGGCCAGAGAGACCGCTCAGCCAGGAAACATGCTTGCCACCAGGGCTGGATGACCTGAGTTCTTTCTCCAGGATCCATATGATAAAAGGAGAGAATTGGCTCCTGCAGCTTGTCCTCTGATCTCCACATTCATGCTTTGGCACACGTGTTCACACATACATACAAATAAAGAAATGGATGGGAGTTTAAGAAAAACAAGGAGTTGTTGGCCAGTTTGCTGTCAGTAGGACACCCTGACCAGTAATGCCACTGGTAAGGAGTTGTTGGCCAGTTTGCTGTCAGTAGGACACCCTGACCAGTAATGGTGCCACTGGCCACAGCTCACCAACAGGAAGTGCAGGAGGAGAGAGCTAATGGAAGAGGGGTCAGAAGCGGCATGCAGGCTGCCAGAAGCAGGGACAAGCAGGATTCTAAGAGTGATTCACACAGGAGAGGGGCTTTGGAGCATCGTTGAATTGGGGAGATTTACTTAGGGGCAGGCCTCTGTCTGCCAGAGTTGGTTCAGGTACTGTGATTGCCTAGGATTTCACATGCCCCTGAAATGTGGGAAAGAATGTTCTGAGTCTCAGTGTACCAAGCAGAAAGGACTCTGTCCAGAGCAGGCAAATTCCGTTTTCTAGACATATATCCTCAGTTATCTGGAATGCCCCAAACACCTTAGTCTTTCCAAATCAACTCAGAGGTTCCATGTAGCAGAGGCAGAGACAGCTGAAGGTGCTCAAGTTTGACAAAGGAGAGAGCTCGGAGCAGCCAGATGTACTCAGGACCGCCAGTTCTCTACAGTACCTAGCATTCAGTAGGTGGTACAGGGGCAACTGAAGGACACTTCTGAGCAGGTTCTCACTGCCATCCTGATCTCCCAGGCTGTATTGTAGTTGTTTGTTCATGGGGCCGACCCCTGAGAGCCTGGGTGGGCTGTAATGACTTAGACTGTAACCTACTGTCCAGGTAGTTACTGGCCAGAGGAGTTGCCACTGAGGGTTGGCAGGGACCTGGTCTCTGCTGAGGGTGCCTGCCTCTGATGCCTTTATCTAATGGCCAGCCAGGGCCCACAGCTCCTTCTCTGCCGATGGTGCTTATTAGAAACATTCTTTCTAATGGCATGCCTTTAGTCCCAGCACTCGGGAGGTAGAGGCCAAAGGATCTCTGCCAGTTTGGGGCCCGCTTCAGCTACACGATGAGCTCCCTGTCCTGAAAAACAGGGAGGGAGAAAGGTATGTTCATTCTGTTAAGCTGAAGTCCTCCTGGGATCTGTCCTGAGTGGCGTCTGTCTGGAGTGTGGACAAGCTTCCAGTATAGTCCTGCTTGTTCTTGATCCTCAGCCTCCTTTCTTGATGGCATACTCTTGTCTATAACTTGAGATGTGGTATCTAGAACGGAGCAGAAAGTTCTAGATATCCAATAGCCCAGGGCAGGAATAGGAGAGACCATCACGTCTCTCTAGACTATGGGTCCCATGGTCACTGATGTGTCTTGGGGCCTACTACATGGCCTATGGTAGGTATTCAGGATGCACAGGGACCTTCCTAGAGACCCAGTCTGGAACCATATTGAGAGTGTGGCAGGGTGACAGTCTGCTGCCTGAGTTACTCCCTCCTCCTAGTCACCTGTCATCTTCTCTCTGTTCTGTTTCTGGCCTGTGTAGAGGACTCTGGTGTAATGCTATTGCTGGGTGTTTGGATCTGTTCTATGTGAGCCTGTATTTTCCTAGGAAGGGGATGGATTTTTCCAGATGGTCAGGGAGCCTGATTTGACCAATCAAGTCCTGTCTAAGTAGATTGTCTCTTGTTTCCTTTCTCTGAGAACTGATGAAGTCCATTATTGACTCACTAATTATTCTTTGGAGTGAAATGGCACACTGGCCACTGGCCTGTATACCTAGGCAGGCCTAAGCTGACAGCAGAATGCAGTGCCTAGCGCCCAGGCGAGAGCTCACACAGCTTACAGCACAGAAAGGGAAGGAAGGGTGTATGCTCAGTGGCAGGTCCTCCTCAGGAAAGCATTACAGGGACTGCTTGGCAAGAGGAAATGATGATGTTGGGCCCTGTGGCCTCTCTGGAGGATCCACCTCAAGGAAGGTTTCCTTCCCCGCCTGCCAGAGGGAGTCCTATGAGAGCTAGTCTGGGAGTAGGCCTGTGGCCTGCCCTGGGCCTTGGCTGTAGACACTTTAGAGCTAGGTACCACATCTGTCCCCTTGACTTCATGCCTTCAGTGCTGGTTGTGGGTACAGGCACCAGGGCCGTGGTTGATACTGGAGGTCGGACTCAGTTCCTACCTGTGTCGTGTTCATAGTCTAGAAAAGGCATCACGCCATTTACCAAACACTGTCTTGGGAACCCAGCCTTTGGTAGGGCCTCATATGGTCACTACTCTTCTCCCCACAGCAAGCCCTAAGGAAGCACTTTTCCCTGTTCACAGATGAAGAGACAGGCACAGAGATCTTGAGAAACCTGCCTAAAGCCACACAGCGCAGCTACTAAGTAATAGAAGCATGGTCTGCAGCTGGACCTTTGGGCTCAGGGGTCCATGGCTCTCTGCCCCAATTCTGTGCTGCCCTGTATCCTGAAAGGGTGTGACATTATCAGGAGACTGCAGGGGCGAAGCGTAGCTGTGGCCCAGCCCCTTCCCTTGCTATTGTGCTCTGAGGGAGTGATCTGCTGACCTGGATACTTTGCTCTGGACTCTTCACAGCCTTTGTCATCTATAACTTCCTGAGCCTGTGCTATGAGTACCTTGGGGGCGAGAGTGCCATCATGTCTGAGATCAGAGGGAAAGCCATTGAGTGAGTATGACAGCTTTGTAAACTGCACGTGGGCACCTCACAGCTTGGCAGATGGACATACAGACCACACCCATGCCCTGCCCTGCTGTTCCTTGCTTTGTAGCTCCTTCCTTGTCCTTTCCTCTTTGTGTTTCTCCTTCCTACAGTTCTTCCTTTTCATTCGGTGCGTTCAGGGCTGTTTTGTGTGTGTCCCCATCCCACGTCATGCCCTGGCGTGTTTGATATGGAGGGCGGCCTTTCCCACCCCACCCTTCCCACCTCCCGCTCTCCACTTGTCTCTCCTAGGTCAAGCTGCATGTATGGCACGTGCTGCCTCTGGGGAAGGACCTACTCCATCGGGTTCCTGCGGTTCTGTAAACAGGTATGAGCCCCGCGGCGGCCCCAGGGCAGGAAGACCAGGCTAGGGACCCAGGTGCAGACCTGTGTCTCTGAGGGCAGTGCCTTACCTGTGGAGGTCCCCTGGCCCCCAGCTGTCCCCAATCTGACCTGGAGGCACTGAGTTAGCGGCATCTGCCAAGGTGGGCATTGAGCATCCTGGAGCAGCCGACAGCCTTGGGCCAGAGAAACTGTTTGGAGTCTGGATCATTTGGACTGAGTCTTGGAGCACACTGGAGTTCTGTTCAGTCAGTTTGAAACTCATCCCTGTGTCTGGGCAAGAGGGTTTGGCATTAAAGATACATAGCAGACAGGACTGTGTGGTCCCTGCCCTCTCTCACATGCTAGTTGGCAGTGCCGAAGCATCTGGTTTCCTTGGCCTCCACTTCCTGGCTGGAATTGGATTTGTAGCTTCTCTGACTATGTGACCTCAGATCATTTGCTTAACCTTTGTGAGCTTGTCTGTCCTTTTACAAAATGGGGGTGACCATATTCTCTCAAGGGTTACTAAAAGGAACAGATGAGACAGTGGATGTGAGCCTTTAGTATAGCTCTGGCTCATTCCGGGAGACAGATTCTGAGGGTGCCACACCCAGTCGTTATGACCGTCCTTGGCTTCTGCAGGCCCTCTGTCAGGCCCTCCAGCTCGACCAAGTAATCAAGAGAGAAATGCTACCCCTTGCCCCCCACATTACAGCCTACCCTAGTGCCACCCTGTTTCCAGCCTCTATGAAGGGCTCAGGGCCCACAACATGACTACCCACACAACAGCATGTCAGCAGACATGCCCGGCTGGGCTCCAACTCGGCTACTGGTTCTGCCTCCTGAGGGAGCCTCAGGATCTAAGTCATGGAGTGTCCTAGAAGGGGTTAAAATAGTCCTAGTCCAGGGTGGGGCTTGCAGAGCTTTTGTTTACATGGTTCAGCCACCCAGTCCAGACCTAGTTCTGACTCATAGCCACTTTTGATCATTACATTGTTTTGCTCTTAAGAGCAGAGCAGAGAGCACAGTTGGCCTCACCATCACTGTTACTGGGTGCAGATCATTCCCTGCCCTATGGGCTCTGAGGCTCTGTTGAACCTTGACATGGCAGACTGGCAGTGAGAGGAGAAGGCTCCCAGCACTCATAGTGTCTTTGTTCTAGAGCCACAGGGTGGGCCAGGATGTCCTTGGGCTCAGAGTCCAGTGTCTGAGTCTTTTGGAACACTTGTTAAAAGTGGGAATTCCTGGTTTGGGGCTGCAAAGTGGTGGAAAAGCACTTGCCTTACATGTGTGAGGTCCTGGGTTTTGTTCTCTAGTACTGCCAATGATGAAGACATGGGGAGGGGGGAAGAGGAGAGAGGAAGGGAAGGAGGTAGAGATTTTTGGATCAGTGACCCCCTAGGCCAGCCCAACAGAGGTCTATGAAGGACCGCCCACTCCTGGAACCTGCATGTGACTTTGACATCTAACCTGGTCTGTAGATCTCAGACTCCCCCATGGTGTATCTGGGGCCTGCTGGCTTGGGCTCCAGTGCTATGGCTTCCAGTTCAGCTCTATGCCTCAGTTTTCTTGTCTGTGACTGGGGTGTGAACCCCTGCTCTTCCCTTCCCTGAACTCCTTCTGGGTGGAGATTTGCAGCCCAGGAATTGTGTGGGGTTTTCTGGTAGCAGCACACAGCTCTTCTGTAACATTCTTCTCTGCCAGGGCTTTCCCACAGCACAGGCCAGGTCCTCAGTGGAGCAAAGATGGGTTCCTAGGCTGCCCTGCTTCTCCAGCCACTGGTCCTGTCCAGAGCCACACTGACCAAGCCACATGACTGGAGTTTGACATGCCCACTCTTTACTTGGGGATTCTGGGTGAGGTTGAACACTTTTAGGTCAGTGGGAGTCTGTGGGTGGTATGGACACCCGACCGGATTACTGAAACTGTCAAGCGTGGCTTAGCACACTCTCCCAGGTCTGAGCAGGTTTGAAAAAGCCTGACTGCACATAGAATAGGCAGCCTCAAGAAGACACTGCTGTCCAGCTCTTCCATCCTCATATTTGAAACCCTGTACTGTGGGCATGGGTTTACCCAGATGGCTACCATTGGAGACCAGGTGACTGCCTGAAAGACTGCAGTGAATAGCCAACCAGGCCTGAATTCCCACATACCTTTCAGGGCTCCCACATATTCGAGGGATATCCTCTCCCAACTTACTGCTCTTGAAGGCTGTCTCCAGCCTACTCAGATCCCTGCTCCATAGAAACCCTGACTCAGGCCAGAACATGGGTCAAGGAAGCAGAGGCCCTTGTCCTCACCTACTCCCTGTGTGGCCAACTCCTCGTTAGAGCTCACTTGCCCAGGGCGTGAGGTCCACGACCTGTTGTTCTTCCCAGCCACCTCCCTGCTGTTCTCTCTAGTGCCCACTCCCTGTCCTTGTCCACTTACTGCCCTGGGTGAGCCTCTGCATGAACTGCTCCATTATATGTATGTGTATGTATGTATGTGTTTGTGTGGGTGCATGTGTAGATGTGACTTGTAGGAAGTTCTTTCCTTCCACAGTGTGTCCTAAAGATCAAACTTAGGTAGCAGGCTTGGCAACAAGTACTTTTACCCGCCTGAGCCATTCCACTGGCCTGGAGCTGCTCCCTCTGCCTGGATCCTGCTTCTACATCTTCCTGAAGGCCCCTTATCTTCTGAGGTGTCTTCTACTCCTGGTCCACGAGGCCTTGTATTCTTAGTCCTTGAGTCCCCAGCATCATCATGTCTCCTTACACATTCTGCCTCCCCCTGCACACAGTTCCCTTTTCCTCCTTCCCAGCAACCGGCATAGGCCCAGCTTCCAAGACAGGTGCTTTCCTACATCACTGCTTTATCCTGTCTTGTCTGTCTCCCAAACAGGCCACCCTACAGTTCTGTGTGGTGAAGCCACTCATGGCTGTCAGCACCGTTATTCTCCAGGCCTTCGGCAAGTACCGGGACGGGGACTTTGAGTAAGCAGGCATCCTCCCCTGGGACCTATGGGTATATTGGCACAAGGGTGGGTGCCCTACCTTGACAGAGGCCATACCTGTGATCTTTCTAAATTACATGGGGCTCCGACCTCCCTGAAACTCTGAGCCTGAGCCTGGCAATGACCATCACTTTTAGCCAGTCATGTCCATGTTCATACTTGGGATGTATGGTAGTAACCATGGGTAAGTCTCAGAAGATGATGGCTACTCCAAGACAGGATTTGAAAGTGAAGGAGCCCTGGGAAGCAGTCTTCAGCCATAGACATAAAGACCCTGCTGTATAATCCGGCCACACCTTTTCACTTATGGGTTAGTGAAGGCAGCCTTGTACTTGGCACTGTGTTGTGAGTTCTTCTTAATGCCTGTAACCTGTACCACAGCCCACCTAGGCCTATGAGCACACCGAGGTCAGGAAGAGAGAGCAGAGCAAGCTTAAGGGTACCCACTGTGACCTTTGGCCTCCAGCATGGCCCTGGCTTCCCTCTAGTGCCCTCCATCAGGAATGGGTTTGGAGTAGGGCCGCCATGTGAGTGAATGCAGTGGTAGTGGAAGGCTGGCCTGCCCGCAGGCCCACCCTTGTAGCACATTCCCTTCCTCTGTCCCCTCCCTGCAGTGGCTCATTGTGCCTTACTAAAGAGCACAGCCGTGACCCTGGGGACAGGCTGTGGGCAGGGCAGAGGAGGGAGCAATCTGCCCTGGCAGGGTTGGTCCCAGCCACAGCATGCCTGTTCCACAGTGTCACCAGTGGGTACCTCTATGTGACTATCATCTACAACATCTCCGTCAGCCTGGCCCTTTACGCCCTCTTCCTCTTCTACTTCGCCACCCGGGAGCTGCTCAGTCCCTACAGCCCTGTCCTCAAGTTCTTCATGGTCAAGTCCGTCATCTTTCTCTCCTTCTGGCAAGGTGAGCCTCCTCTCAGCCTGGTGATCATATCCCATTTCTGACCCCTTTATCTCCTGCCCTGGAACTCAGAGATACCTTGGTCACTGGGCATTCAGGAAGGGTGAGGCTTGCAGGAAACTTCAGTGCAGCCTTGTACAGTTAGTGATGTCCCAGTTTTCTGACTGACAGGTAGCTGAGAGAATTGGGTTTGCAGAGGCCTTGGGTTTGTCATCATCCTTGCCTCCAGGAGCAAATGAGCCTTCCTGTAACCTGTAGTGTGTGGTGCTGCATGGATGAAGGGAATGGGAAGGAGTCCAATGTGTGGCCAGACGGTGCATGCTTCTCCCTGTCCAGGTATGCTACTGGCCATCTTAGAGAAATGTGGGGCCATCCCCAAGATCAACTCAGCCCGTGTGTCAGTGGGCGAGGGCACTGTGGCTGCTGGCTACCAGGACTTCATCATCTGTGTCGAGATGTTCTTCGCAGCCTTGGCCCTACGGCATGCCTTCACCTACAAGGTCTACGCTGACAAGAGGCTGGATGCTCAAGGTATGAGCCAGATTCCTGGGGCAGGACCCCAGCCTCATGAGGTCAGCTCCAGGCCCTTCTACCACCCAACATCTTGTAAGGGTTGACCCTGTCTGTTCTGAAAGGGGGCTAAAGAGGTCAGAGCATAGGGGCTGTCAGAGCCCAGAGGGACCCCCAGTTTGTTTCTGGAAGCTAAGTTTACCCTTTAGGTCCTAGTGTGGAGGAGACCCACAGATGGTATAGAAGGGTGTATACCTATAATCCCAGCATTCAGGAGGCTGAGGCAGGAGGGTTACCATGAGTTTAAGAAAAAGAACAATAAAAGGAAGTTGGGACAGAGACTAGTGAACAGAAATCACTGTGCCGAGTCTGCTCTGTCCTATTCTGTCTGCTGAGATTCTCTAAGGTACAAGCGACAGAAAGCTGCTTCCCTGTGAGAAGCAGGGTCAGAGGCAGTTTCCACAGCGTGTTCTTGTACACCGCTAATCCTTGTTGCTGGCGAGTGTTCTGCAGCCCTGGGCACATCTGTGATTCTTAGGATGCATTGCCTTGAGAAGCTTTCTGGTGACTAGAAGTGCAGCTGTGAGGGAAAGCATCGGGCAGAAGGCCTGCTCTGAGAGGAATGCCCAAGGCTGGCATCCACAGTGAGGGACTGGAGGGGCTGGAGAGGGAGGCCTCCTGTCCAAGGCATCTGCCATCTAGTTGTTGTCAGCTTTCTCCATGGCTGGAGGCCAGACAGCCTCCTTCCCCAGGCTTCAGTGCCCACCACAGGTCCCTGTGCTGGGCATGGAGAGTCTTAGGGACCCACAGGCACAGGACTCCCTGCCCAGTTCCTCTATTACCCCTTTCCTGGTTGGGAAGAAACTTTGAAATGCCTCTGCTGGACTGTGCTGTCTGCCACACTGTGATGCTCAGGTTGCCACACTCATCTTTGATGGCATCCCTACCTACTCTGTGCTGAGCCACTTGTTAACTTCCTGCTTCCTGCTGGGCCCTAGAGGAAAAGGACTGATAACACTCATCTATGTCCCTTAACCCTGGTTTAATAGTCTCTGGGCAGGAGCCAGGCAGGCCACTTACAGGAACAAGTTGGGTTATCTATAGCCCAGGGTTTCTATGTGTGATGGCTCTCCAGGACCGCCTTATTACCCAACTGTCTTTCCACATACTACCCTCAGACAGCACCCCCTATTAGATGCATCCCCCCAGAAGAAACAACCCATCCAGAAGAAACAACAAACTGCTGTTGGTGTGGGTGGTAGTCTATCCTCTTAAACCATAACCATGGCACCCAGTCCTTTCCAGCTTCACATTAGGTTGGGGTGAAAAACCAGCTGTGCTCTGCTATCATCCTCTGAGCCTGGATTTCCAGATCTGTGCAGAGGAGTGAGCTTTGTGAGGCACAAGGCCCCATATAAGCATAGCTCTAGCAAACCCTGGGAGAAGTGGGGAAGAGGCCCTGACTCATGTGGGGTGGAATGTCACTGCCATCGGGATGACCCATTAGCATGAGTACCGTCCTGCAGGTGCAGCCGGAGCAGCCTGGCTGTCTGGAGATAGTGGGGGGTGTCACTGGGCCTGGGGTGGGCAGGCAATTTACACTTAGCTGTCTCTTGTCTTCTCTATCCCTCCGGCTTCTCTCCTTGCCCCTTTACCCCGCATTTGCCCTGGGTTTGGCCTCGGGCAGTGCTGACATACGGCCCATACGGTAGGTCTGCTCTCTGCTTTGTCTGCACGTCTGTCCTGCACGTCAGTCTGGTCCTGTCACTGGCATGCCTTTCTGTAGCTCCTCTGTGTACCCATCTCCTTCCAGCTAGCACTCCTGCCTAAGAGGGCTGCCCTTTGTAGAGCTTGGCTACCTTCATTCCATTCTATAGTTTTGAAATACACCCTGCTAGGTTCTGGGGCACAGTGCCCACTCAAGGGATGACAGGAGCATTTAGCAGTGTTTCCGAGACAAGGCACCCAGAGGGTGGAGAGTCCCAAGTCCTGGGCCCAAGGTTGAGTTCATCCCTCCAGCTTGGCTTGGTGTCCTGCACTGTGCTTCCACCCCTGCCTCTGATCTTGTAGGGCACATCTTCAAATGGATAAGTTGGAAGCATGCCAAGGCAGTGAATTCCTGCCCTCTTAGAGGGAGAGCCAACAGGCCAGCCTACTCCTGGGGGCCTCTGGTCCCTGGTCCAGCAGCCCTCACAGGTGGAGGCCATAAGCCTGCACTGGAGTTTAGGGTGTTGCAGGTGCTTTCCCAGTTCTGCCCAGTCCCTCCCATCTGTGAGCATCTTTTCCAGGGATGGTTTGCCTCTGCCCTTTGTGTTCACTTCCTTTCCAGCTCCCCATGTTCACTCCCAGCCAGCAGCAGCACTGTTGCCCTGTCCCCTTTCATGTCTCAGGAGGGGACAAGTGAACGAGAGCATTGGGGTGGGGTCTGTCCCAGGAGTAGGGCCAGGGACTGACCAAGCATCTCTCGTCCCACTCTGGCCCTTGCCCCACCTGACTCCTCCCCGCAGGCCGCTGTGCCCCCATGAAGAGCATCTCCAGCAGCCTCAAGGAGACCATGAGCCCACACGACATTGTGCAGGACGCCATCCACAACTTCTCCCCTGCCTACCAGCAGTACACCCAGCAGTCTACTCTGGAGCCTGGGCCTACCTGGCGTGGTGGCACCCATAGCCTTTCCCGGTCCCACAGCCTTAGCTGTGCCCGGGACAATGAGAAGACTCTGTTGCTCAGCTCTGATGATGAGTTCTGAGTGTGGGCACTGGTGGGGAGGGAGAGGTGCCTCCTCCAGCCTCCAGCCAGGCTGGGGAGCAGCCAGCACAGTGTTGCTGTTGCCCCTTTATTTATTGGACCAGAAACACTCACATATCACTTCCAGAGGAACAAGCCTCAGGAATGTGTCTACATGGCCAACCCTTCACTATTGGGGCAAGAGCAGAGGACACTGGCCGTAGCTGCCACACCTCTGCTGCCCAGCCTGTACCGGGGACACATCTGGAACCAGCCATGACTGGGCCCAGATGCTTGTGTGTTGGCCAGAAGCTGCATCCTGAGCCCTCTCCCCAACAAGACATCTGCCGAGGCTGTCGGGCCCAGCCGACCCCACACCGTGCAATACCCAGACCTGATCTGATCTTCCCACCTGCCTGCCCTTCCTGTTCATTTTTGTCCAACGTGAGCTTTGCCTCATTCCTGGCAGGGGGGATGTGAGTGCTCTGTGGACCCTCCCCTTTTCCCAATCTAGGCCTGCCTAGCATGCTGCAAGGGGTCAGGGCCAGACCCCAGGGGCCTCAGGGCCCACCTAGGAAGGGTGCCTCCATGCCTATGTGCCCTTGGGTGTTCTCATCATGGCCACTTGGCCTGCTTCTTGGCTCTTCTGGTCTGTTGAGGACAGCCGGCAGCCTACACTGCTCTCTCATTTGGGTCCAGTTCTTGATAGTTTGGGGCAGAGCCCCCCCTATATTTCCTGACTGTGCCAGGGCTTGGGTTCCCCACCACCTCCTCAATGGAGCAGTCAGACTCCTGCCGGGGCCTGGGAAGTCTGGTTGCCCACATCTCAACCCACTTCCAGAGGAGGCTGGGGAGATGGTTATGCAGCGGGCGTAAGGTAGGGGTGGTCTCAGACCCTTCTGGGTTCCCTGGCCATGTAGGGCCTGGTGTTCTGCTCCCTCTGCCCCCCTGGCCCATCTCTTCTGTGCCTTAGTCACATATGAAAGCCCCTCCCCAGTCCCCAGTCTGTCCCAGGCACTTCCTTGTTGAGCTGCAGGCACTCAGGACTCTGAGGGTGGGCACGGGGTCAGGTGCCCTTGTCTGGGACCACCTGTTCTCTCTCCTGACTCCTCCTCTCACATCCAGAGCGGCCTCCAGGGATGGAGCCTCCAAGGTAGGGTGGCAGAGGACCTGGCGAGTGGAATCCACACAGCATTTGGGTTTGGCTTCAGTAGCTTCTTGAGGTGGACAGAGTGGTGTAGAAGAGCCTGGCCTTGTGGCCTTCACTGGAAACTCTCCGCCTGGTCACTTCTGGAACAAACAGGTTCCTTCCCTAGGGTCCGTGGGAAGGGCCCTCATGGGGCTGTTGCATCCTAGCAACCTTCTTAGCCTCCTTCCTGAGCATGTGGGGTGCCAGAGGGCCACACTCAGCTCCACCCAGTAGGCCTAGCCAGCTGGTCCCAAGCTTGCTGAGGAAGGCAATTGACAGGTGGGAGCTCCTTGGGGCATGGCCATGGCTCCCCCCAGGATTGCTTCCACCAGTCTGTTTCTCAGACTTTCCCCTTCTTTCCAGGCCAAAGTATGTTGCTGGTTCCTGTCCCCACTGGTCCCTACACCCCCTGGCACTTGCCTGCTGGCATGGTGGGTGAGGCTGCGGGGGAGCTCAGTGGCAGGAAGCTAGTGGTCCTTGGGAACACGGAACAGGAACCTGTACCCAACTCCCCCATTCTTTCTTTCTAGGATGCATAACCTATCTTGTCTCATTTATTTTTTATTTTTTTCCAGATAGAGTAGCTCTTTGTACATAAAAGAAAATACTTGAAAATTAATTGTATGATGTATGAGAAGACAGAGCCCCCTAGTTTTGTATCTCGTTGTGTGACTGCCATGCGTTCCACCAGAAAGCCGTTCTATTTTGGTCTCTGTGATATTTTAAATGCGTGACAGAAGCAAGCAAATAAAGTCAGGAAGAAGTATATATATGAGATAATATAGATTGTATCAAAATCTCTTCTGCCTGCCAGTGAGGTTTTTTTTCTTGCCCCCTTTTTGTCTAGAAGTGTAGTGACCATGGGCAGGGCAGGGGCGTTCACCCTCTTCCTGTGTGCCGTGTATATATGCAGGTCACGGATGGGGGGTGTTTACATTGTCTGGGACTAAAATCAGGTTCCACATCCCCATTGGATGTTTCTCCTTTCTTCAGAGACAACCGACCACAAAGTGTTCACCCTCTCTCCGCATCCCCATGAGGGCTAGGCCTCATTCCCTGTTTTTTTTTAGGTATCTCCCAGAAGATCAGAGGCTTCTCTGAGCCCACCCTCCATCCTTAGGAACCAGGCCATGGTTACCTTCCCTGCAGGCACCATGCCTTTCTTAGGTCTGCCCCATGGGTGACAGGCATGAGTGTATAACCCAAAGGTAAACAGTCTACATAATCTTTGCACTCCCACTTCCACCCACCACCCCTTCCTGCTGCCAGGCCTGAGGAAGGCCTCTCAGGAAGGAGTCTTGGCACAGCCCTAGTTTGAGGGGGAGACAGTTCTGTGGGTCCAGCCACACGATCTGGCCTTTCCCTACACTCCAACTTTGCCCCTTTCCTTGGTCCCTCTCCCTCCCTGACCAGCCACATAAAAGGTCCTTGCCCTAGTCCTATGGACTGTCTTTTGTTATGCATTTAGGGCTTGTAGCCTTCCTGGCTTTCCTAGCCCATGCCTCTATAGCACCATCATTTCAAAGTAAACTAGAGAGCCAAGAAACTAGTCAGTACCACCCAGAAAAAAGACCATTGGGTTCAAATCAGTTCCCCTGGCTGAAGACCAGAGTATTCCACTCCTTACCAGGCAGGGCAGACTTAATGAGTGGGTACCCTTCCCTTCTCCCTCCTAAGACCTAAGATTAAGGTTGAGGTCTGCTGGCTAGAACTTGGCAGTCCACTTCCCTGGGCCTTCAAGTACACTGGGAAATAGTTCCCACTAGGCTGTAGAAAATCAGACATATGAGGAAGTAGTAGACAGTTTGAAAACCTAGGACTTATCTCTTTGCCTGGGACTATTAAGACTGTGTGAGCACAACTTTTCCTTGCCCAGTCTCCACCCACACCTGCTTACAAAAGCCAGCAATGTGATTTAGCCTCCCATGACCCAAAACTGGTCTCAGGCCACTCAATCAGAACACACACAGAACACTCCAGGATACACACTTCTCTGTGGAAAAGAGCTCGACTTTATTCAGAAAGTCTACAAAATACTCAAGGAAGATAACTGGCTCACTTTAAATCAGAAAATAAATAACTCTGGGAGCTGGGTAATTTTTTTTTTTAAAAAAACCTTGCTGTTGTTGCTATCCAGCTTTCCCTAAATATAAGATTAAATGTGATTTATTTGTAGATATAAAATATAAAGTCCAGCTCAGGGCCCACATATTTCCCTGGGAAGAGAAGCTGGGCTCTGGCTGGTTAGAATAACTTAGATTCGTGCAATAAATAAGAGTGCAAGGGTTCAGCTGTATACAGTATAGGGGAGGTGCTAGGGCCAGACTTCCCAGGGGACCAATGGTCAGTCCCACACTACCACAGATACTCAGGACCAAATTAGAAGCCTTAATCCCAAGGGACCCCCTTTTCTAAATTCCCTGCATCAGGACCGTAGTGTCTCTCTACCTACCACAGAGGTCATCCCCATTGTCCCTTCTCTGGCTGGCCAGCTCCTCACCTCATCCCATTGTGTCACCTTCTCTCTCCTTCAGCTTCTTTCCCCACCCACATAGACAAAGGTCTCCCAGGCCAGAGGCCCTCCTACAACTTTGTTCCCCCCGTGCAGTCAATGCATGGTTGGAATGTTAGGGCAGCAGTGAGGAGGCCCCATTTTGGGCTGCAGATCAAACACTCAGTGCTGTGTGGCCTTGGGTCATTTCGCCCTGATAGCTTCCCCATCTGTCAACTGAGCTTCACTGGTCGTTCCAAAGACTTCGCTTGGGAAAGCCTGACATTCCCAGGTCCCAAGCAGAGTTGGGAGGTCTCTTGAGTTCTGCTTCCCAGCAGGGCAGCCCCACAAGGTCACACCCAGTCCTAAGTCCTGGGAAGGTCGGAAGGACATACTGGTACAATCCAAAGCCTCTCCTGCCAGCTCTTCTCCGGGCCATCTCTACACCACCTCCTTCCACTCTGAGAAGGACTTTCAGCCCAAGGAAACCCAGGACCCAACGCCCTCCCCGCAACTTAGCAAAGTTGCCCCTCCCTAGGGCCATCAGGTCCCAGTCTGGGGGTCTGCAAGAGTTAAAAAGAGCCCAGGAAAGGAATGTGAAGTCACCACACTGGGTAGCAGTGGCAGGCAGAGAAACCCGGAGCAGGAGGCACTCAGGCACTTTGGGAAGGGAGTCGAGTCGGAGGGGCGTTGCCGGGGGAAGGGGCGGGTACTAAGAGCAGGGGGCGGGGTCCGGAGCGGGGGAGGGGCCTGGTGTCGACTTGACGATGGTAATGACGCTGGCAGGCGCCACCAGTGCGGTGGGCCCGCGGGCGGCGGCCACCGAGCGCGCGAAGCCCTGCAGCGACTCACACCTGCCGTGCCGCGCGTCGAGCTCCAGGCGCATGGCGGCGTTCTCGCGCGCCAGCTTGTCCACCTCGCGCTCCAGCTCGGACTTCTGCTTCTGCAGCTCCTCCTTCTGGCACACGCGCTTCACACGGCAGCTGGCCGCAGAGCCACGGGTCTTGAGTGTGCGACGCCGCTGCTTCAGCCGTGTCACCTCCTCCGCCGACAGACCGCGCAGGTTCCGGTTCAGCTCGCGCACCGACAACCCCATCAGCGCCTCATCCGACAGGTGCGGCGTGTTCTCGCTCAGCTCACGCTTGACCTGTGAGCCAAGCCGTGGGGAAACAGGCATGCTGCCCATGCTGGGGATGCCGTCCCACTTCCCAGTGCGACCTCCCTCCCCATTTTGGCGGTTACTGGACTTGAGCCAAGACCTTAAAGGTGACCGGGACCAGCAGGAGGCCACCCAGGGCTCAACCTAACCAAAAGCGTCAAGTCCTGGACCCAGCTGAGAAACCCAGCCTGGAAAGCCCCTTTCAATGGGGGAAGCAGGTTCAGCGGGAAGTGACCTGCTCCTGTAACCCCCCGCAGCTTGGTCCAGGAAGGAAAGGGGAATTGGGATGTTGCCGCTTTATGGGGGAACAGCAGCAGAGTGACCGCAGGAGCTAGCACCTCACCTTCAGGGCTTTGCTGGATAAAGGATCCGCAGACATTTTTGCAGAAGGTGCCCTCAGGGCTGGAGACCTAGGAGAGAAAGAAGTTGATGGTCATCTTAGTTGTTTTGTTTATGTCTTAAGAGTAAAATCCAATCTCTATACCCTGGCATTCCAGGCTCCTATCTCAGAATTCAGACCTACCTCTTCAGACCGCACCCAGCTGCCCGTAGTGATTCATTATCTACATCTTTGCCGAATGCCACGTCTTTAGAGAGGTCCTCTCTGACCATCGACCATCCCAGCTGATGGTTTGTCCCTCCTTCCCGGTTCTCCAACAAAGTGCTAGTCTCACACCATAGCCTCACCACAGCCTCGGCATGCCAAGGTGGGTGCCTGCACACACCAAGTCCTCAATGAATGGTTGAACTAAGGGAGTGGGCACTCCTCCCTTTGACCATTCTCCCACATGGGGCCAGGTCATGCATGTTTTGGTTAGTTTCAATTGTATGCGTTAGTTCAGTACACCAATTGTGTGGAGGTCAGAGCAGAATTTGCAGGAGTCCGTTTTCTCCTTCCACCTGTGGGTTCTAGGGCATCCATCTAAGATCCTTAGGCTTGGCAGCAAGCTCCTTTAACCACGGCACAGTCTCACCATGTAGCCCAAGCTGGCCTCAAACTCCCTATCCTTTTGCCTCTGCCTCTTGAGTGTCCAAAGTCCATCCTGTACTCCCTCAAGATACAGCACCCAAGTGTCCTCCCCAGCAGCATTTGTCCAAGGTCATGTTTTGGGAAGATTTCCCAAAATGCCTGAAGTCTGCCCACCAGTAACTAACTCTCCATGGCCCTAAAGGGAATAGCAGCTATTCCCTAGCCTAAAGTGGGCCCAGTGGTCCTCACAGCCTTCCCCATAGGCCTGGAAGCCTCACATTCCTTCAACCACCAGTTCCTGATTAGCTAGCTTGCCATGTACTTGGCACCGGGGAGACAGGTGAACTTTTAAAAACTTGTGGAGGGAGGCTGGTGTGGTGGTGCACAGCTGTATCCAGCATTTGAGAGGTAGCAAATCAAGGACTTAAGGCCACTGTTGGCCACATAGCAAGTTTGAGGCCAGCCTGGGTTACATGAGACCCTGTTAAACAAGTGCTCTTAACCATGGAGCCATCTCTCCAACCCTTTTCCTTTCTGAACTGGGGATTGAACACATGGTGCACAGACATGCATGCAGACAAAATACTCATGCACAGAAAATAAAACGTTAAAAATTTAAAAGAGCACCAGGTGGTGGTGGTGCACGCCTTTAATCACAGCACTGGGGAGGCAGAGGCAGGTGGATCTCTGTGAGTTCCGGGCAAATGAGAGGCTCAGGGTTTGGATTCCCCAAACCCATGTAAATACAGGATGAGTGTGGTGCCCACCTGTAACCTAAGAATGGGAAGGGGTGGAGATGGGATCCCCAGGGCAAGCTGGCTAGCTAGGCTAACTGAACCAGGAGCTCTGAGTCCATATACAGCCACAAGTAATCAAAGAGGACACGAAGCACCAACCTCTGGCTCCACACACACTTGCACCCTGCATGTTAACACCCACATGCACACACATCTGGCCCTGAATCTTCACACTCACACACATATGCCATCTTGCTCAGTGTCTGCCCTGTGAGGAGGTCCCCTCTCCAACAGCAGGACCCTTGTTGAGTCCTCTGTGGTTTACTGCAAGACTTAGAACAGTGTCTGGCCAGAGAAGGTGCTCGTGTGGCAACTGTGGAATTCTTAGTTGTGACTCAGGCCGAGGTGGGGACAGTCTGGGGCTTCTGAGGAACTCCCACTGGGTTAGGAGTTGGTGAAGCAGCTCAGACAGCAGGAAGGAGTGGGGCAGGAAAGGGAAATTGGCCATTCAAGACACTATGTTGACTGACACAGCTACTATGGCCCCAAGTCTAGGAGAGTCTTATGGGGCCTGCAGGGGAGTAGTGCATAGGACAGGGATCCCAGCATCAGGAAACAGACAGGAGGGTCAGAAGTTCAGGGCATCCTGTTAGATCATGAATTCAAAGCCAGCCTGGGCTACATGAGACCTTGCCTCAAACAAAACAAAACTAAAACTAATAAAGAACCACTAAGTCAGGCATGACACACATCCTTTAATCCCGGGGCTGGGGAAGCTGAGGCAGAAAGATTGCAGTTTTTAGTTCATCCTTGGCTATATGCCAAGTTCAAGCAAGACCCTATCTCTACAAAACAAAAAGCCACCATGCCCCCTTACGATGTAGCTAGAAGCTGCACCTGGGGCTCAGACCAGGACTTGGGAAGTTCTAGACTTCCTGTGCTGACTTCGAAGGAGAGCCTAGAACTTTTGATCCTCCTGCCTCAGTTACTGAGTCCTGGGATTACAGGTGTGGGCCACTGTATCTGGTTGTAGTGGCGTTTCTTAAACAGTACCCTGCCCGAGCCACACACTGGGGTGGTATCTATTCATCAAGAAAAATCTGACATGCCACAGTCCACAAGGCACTTCTCGTGGGTCCCACTGGTCCCTACTAGCAGGAACACAAGGGTCCAGGCACCATGCAGTGCTTTGGGCAGGCCGTGTGCCCAGCCATTAGCCTCCTTCCATTCTGCCTCCAGCCTGGAGGACTCTCTCACTTCCTCTCCCATCCCTCCACTTTCCCCCTCAGTTTTTGTGCTAGGCTCCTGCTCACTCTCTGTCCCTAGAGTAGGATGCCCTTCCTGACCCATAGGACTTGCCAGGTACCCTCTGTCCCCCAGCCCCTTTGCCCTAGCCTTTCTCTCCCTTGGTGATGTAACCATCCATTTCCTTGTTGTCCCTATACCAGACAGCTGAGTCACCCCCGGGTGTTTGAGGATGCCCAGCCAGGGCCCAAATGGGCAGGGAACAGGCAATGGGGGTGTGGGTGGGTGGAGTTTCTGTCATGGTCACCCAGCTGGTCATTGTCCCAGCCAAGTTCCAAGACCAGCTTAGGGAAACACTATGAGTGAAACCTGCTAGTTAGCCTCCACATCCTTCTCCTTGCCATCTGCCAGGCAGATGGCACAGGTGCCAGGAGAATTGAAGCAAGCATAGGGACCCCACCCATGTGACCTTTGGCCCAGATCAGGTCTTCGGAAGCAGGGGGCACTGGCTGAGAAGCAAGCCCAGAGTTTGAGTCCTGTCCATGTTTTCTCCAGGCTGTGCAACCTGGGGAGAGCTACTTCACATCTCTGGTCTCTACTATCCCATCTGTAGAATGGGACAGTTTCTTCCACAGTTTTAGGTGAAGCTTGTCATATAAACAGAGGGGCAGAGGTGGTCTGGCATCTTAGTAAAACTGCTGAGCCTGACCAGGTGTCAGGGTTTCAGTCAACTCTGGGGGCTTGCTCTGAGTCAGCATAGCCAGCCAGGGTCACCACAAAGCAGCACGTAGGAAAGGCCCTAGAGACCATCCCAAGAGGAAATAGGGACCCAGAGAGGCACAGCACTTTCTAGAAGCCACAGAGCAGCCAGTCTACAATCCAGGAAGAATTCTCAGAGTTTTTTGTTTTTTGTTTTTCCCTTTCATTTTTTGAGACAGGGTTTCCCTGCAGCTTCAGAACATGTCCTGGAACTCACTCTGTAGACCAGGTTGGCCTCAAACTCACAGAGATCCGCCTGCTTCTGCCTCCAGAGTGCTGGGATTAAAGGTGTGCGCCACCAACGCCACCACCAGACTCAGGACTGACTCTTGATTCCTTCCATCATCTTCATAGTCTTCCTGATAACAATGCCAGATAATTCCCAAAGAAGGTGACAGAGGGGACACAGTCACACAGGGCACAGCCTAGGACTGAAGCCACACTGAGCCAGACACTTCCTCACAGTGTGCCCTCAGTACAGCTCCTTCTATGAGCCCAGCTTCCTCACCTGGGAAGAGGCAGGCACTTCACCTATGGTGTATGCCTGGACCTGGTTTAGGTCAGCTAGGGATGGAATATACAAGAGATACCAAATAGCCAGGCCTTCTTGCCAGTTGTGTGGAGCTGAAGTGGTAGGGGTACTTGCTTAGTCAACAGACCTGATAGAAGAAGGCGGCCTCTCCCTGAATAGGTTAACTAAGGGCTTGCTAAGTGCTGGGTGCTGTGCCTGGCCCAGAACCTTGGCAACACACCATGACCCCTAACGAGGTAGTTGTCTTTCCTGGTCTCCTTGCATCTTAGATGAAGTCAAGGTTGGACTTGGTTGGCTGGGTACAGACCACTCTAACCAGGCACTTCTTTCCAGTGAGATGATAACAGCTCCTGAATCTTTCAAAACTTCAGGTAGCACATGCCCACTTCTTTCCAGTGAGATGATAACAGCTCCTGAATCTTTCAAAACTTCACCTAAAACTGTGGTTAATCCCAGCACCCGGGAGGTAGAGGCAGGTGGGTCTCTGAGTTTGAGGCCAGGCTGGTCTACAGAGAGAGTTCCAGGACAGGCAGGGCTACACAGAGAAAGCCTGTCTCAGAAAACAAAGCCAAACCAAACACCCAAAGCCTCAGTTTTCCACTGAACCTTCACATGGCCTCAGAATCCTCAACACATCCAGCCCCCCCAAGAGGTGGGACTGCAACCATGCTCTACCCTAGGAATGAATGAATGCTCTACCCAAGGAAGGCTGGCACCTGCCCTTTCTCCTCCATCCCATCAACCACCATTCTAGCCTCAGGCCCCTCAGTGGCATCCTCAAATTCCATGGAGGCCCACATTTGCCCAGGAATGTCCTAACTCAGCAGTCACAGTCACAGAGTGAATGTCCCAACATGAGAAGGGGGAAAATTTTCCCATCACCTTTGGCCTTTTGCTTCTAGCAGCAGGCCCCAGTTTGTAGGACACAAGGCAAGGAGACTCCACTGCCACTAGTCTGCCTGATCAGGGACCCCACCCTTGAGGCTTTTCTTCTTCCTGGGGAAGCCAGTAGGGCCAACTCCAGATCTGAGGTTCCTAGTATTCTTTGGAGACCCAGGAGTGAGCTCATTCTTGAGGACATGACGGCTGACCAGCCAGGGGCCATGGCCTTCCTGTCCCCATCTCTGGCCCCTCAGCTGTACACCCGAGACATCCTGTAGACGGCCCACCCACTGGCATGGGCTCCTCTCTGGCTGCTGAGCCATACTGCTTACTTGGTGAGGACAGAGGGAAAAAATGTGTTTGCCTGGGTCTTGGCAGTAAGCACGGGGCGCCTCCTCCCTGCTGGAAGGGCTCAAGACTGGGAACTGAGCAGTGTGGGGAGCAGCAGCCTGGGTTCCAGCCCCATTCTGCTACCCACACTCTCACCGTGTGACTTCAGGTTGTCACTCCCTTTCTCTGGGCCTGGATTTCTCAACGTGCCCAACCTCCCGACAATGGCAATGTCCGAGTTTATTCTGTCAGATTCAGGCCCAGTGGAAAGCTCCAAAGCCTCCAGCAGGGTGGAGACACTGGAGGAAAGGAAAAGAAACCAGGGAAGGCTTCCTGGAGGCAGAAGCATGACAGCATAAGCAGCCAGGCTATGAGCCCTGACCTCCTTTCTCCTCCACCTGCACAGCTAGGGGCCACTTCCTCTTCCAGCCAGACCAAGACCACAGTGGCCTCACCACTGCCTTACTCCCTCCTCTGCCCCAACCTCCATCTCCAATAGCATCAAAGGGTCACTAGAGGCACAAACCTACAAACTTGACCATGTTTGGCATGTTTCAAGTCCTTGTGCTAGTTAGGTGTGGTCATATACATCATGATGGCAGCCCTCAAGAGGCAGAAATAGAAAGACCAGAAGTTCAAAGCCAGCTCAGGCTACATAAGACAAAAACAAAAATAGGGCTGGAGAGATGGCTCTGTGGTTAAGAGCACCTGCTGCTTTTGCAGAGGACCCTGGTTCTGGCCTTAATACCAAGTCAAGTGGATCATATCCACCTGTAACTACAGTTCCAGGGATCTGACACCCTCTGGCCTCCACAGCCATCTGCACACATATGGCACACATCAATTCACTAAGGCACAAACACCTATGTAAATAAAAATGAACTTTAGATCAATCTTTAGAAAAAAATATCAAAACCACAGAGCCCATGCTCTCAGCTGTCCCAGCCCACAAAGGAGCCCCCAGCTGATAACATGTTCACTTCACTCTCCCAGCATTCTTTTTGCTAATAAGTAACAAATGAGCAGATTGGATTTCCTAATGACTATTGGCCAAAAGGAACACAGCTCTGTGTGTGAAAGAAGAAGCTACCTGCACCACCTGCTCATTTTGGGGGAAATTCCTGCAAGACTCCTACAGTTCACAGTCTTGCTTTCTGTTTCCCTGGAGCTCAGGGATATGGACCCATTGCCCATTTCTTCAACTATCCACATATCCAAGAAGCACCTACTGTGTGCCAGGCCCTGTGTTGAGTCCTGAATGGCCAAAAAGGAATCACAGCCCTTGTCCTCTGGGTTCCAGAATCACAGCACCATCAAACTCTACTCCCTAGCCACCTCCACAGGGAAGACTTCCATGATCACCCTGGCTAAGTAGGAGCCCTATTACTACTTAGGCCAAAGTAACTTCCCCTTCATGGCCCCTTCCCAGAATGTGGTCCGTGGATCTGTCTGTTTACTACAACCCTAAGCATCTAGCCCAGCCATTGTGCAAAGGCTAAGTGTCAGCAAAGCTTCCCAGTGCAGTGAGAGGGGAGCCAGCAGCCCACACTACCACAGCCATAGGTGAGCAGCTCTCACCAGGCCTTCCTATTGCAGTGAGTACATACCCATCCCTTCACACTATGAGCCAAAATAAATCCTCCCTTAAAAAATAGGTAAGCTGGACAGATGGCCCAGTGATTAAGAGCACTTGTTGCCCCTGCAGAGGACCCAAATTTAGTTCCCAGCACCCACATGATAGCTCAAAACCATCGGTAACTACAATTCTGAGGGACCCAAGACCCTCTTCTGACCTCTGCTGGCACCAGACACTCATTAAAAAGGGGGGCATTACCTAGGGGTCCTGGGTTCTAATGGACCCCTGGGGATCAAGGAGAAACAGAATCTCTCCATGCTAAGTTTCCCTCTGTCAGTGAGCCAGTTAGCCACTTCCCCTCACCACTAACCCCCCAGCCCCACTGGAGAGTGTTTCTTGATCAGTTTTGAGGATGGACCCACCTAAATCCTAGGGTCCTGGCTGCAGCCCCCTCAACCACCCACTCTACACACAACTCCATTTGCAGGCCTTGGGGTTGGCTCTGCCTTCCCAGTTTCCCCTGGTAAACAGGCTGTGCATTGCAGCTGCCAGGGACTAAGCTCTCCTGCCACCCTGCCGCAGATGGGGGTGGGACACTGCAGTTCTCACAGTGATAGCAGAACTCACTGGCTCAAAGTTGAAGTATCATTGATTCCGCCCCCTAACAAGCTTAGTTGCCACCTCCTTGGATTCCAGAACGCTCAAGTAGGGAAAGTTTGAGTATGACCATGGTGTTCCGGGAACCAGCAGTCCTTCAGGTTGCTGGCCTAAGCAGGTGTTTTCTTGCTGTGCTCCCCTCCCACATTAACCCTTCCCTAAGGCCTAAGCAGGTGTTTTCTTGCTGTGCTCCCCTCCCACATTAACCCTTCCCTAAGGCCTAAGCAGGTGTTTTCTTGCTGTGCTCCCCTCCCACATTAACCCTTCCCGAAGGAGGACCAGGGGTTATACTGCCGGCTGATCTTGCTGGTTCAGGGTGGACTCTAGGTGTGTCCTGGGGTCCAGTCTAACGAGTTCCATCTGAGAACTGAAACTACCAGAAGTGTGGCTATTAGCCTCACTCCATCCTTCAGGACCCAGCAGGTGCAGCCTCAGACATCCAGATTAGGCTAGCCACTGTAGCCTGGGAGCCTTGCCTTCCCCAATCTTTGCCAAGGCCTTTCTGGCCTTCTCTATTTCTCCTGGGACCGGAGGAATGGGACAGTCCAGAGATGAACAGTCCATACAGAGCCAGAAAACCTGGGGCTAAAGAGGGACTTCCACGTACTTCGTTACCAGGTACACCAGATGGCCAGGAGACGGCTGGCTGGCTCGCTCACTTCTGCTCTACCTAAAGCTGCAGGCACCCGCACTGGGCGAGGAACAAACACTGATGTCACATGGCTCCAACCAGGGGAAACTCCGGAGACAACTGGGGCCGGGCAGTACCGGCTGGTGGGAAGTGAGAGGATAGCGGAGGGTGGGGAGGAGGGAGAGAAAAAAAAAATTCCAGACCTGGTGTAACCATCGACTGGGCCACTTCCTTCACTCGGGTCCTTATTCCGCATTTGCTCCAGTGGACACCGGTGCACACACTTCAAGGTACACCGGGTTAGTGTCAGTCTCCAGGGAGCGCGCGCGGCCAAAGACAAACACACACACCCAGAGGTAC